TTATTATTTCAAAGAATAATAAAATAAAATTAATTAAACATATATACACTCCTTGATTTCCACCTTATATTAAGGGATTTGATTAATTTAAATTTCTAGAATTAATTGTCCATGTAATCTGAAAATCCTCAATTACTCCTCTAATTAAGGAAATCAGTTACAACTAATTAATTTAAATAGATAAAATAAGTATCTCGATTTTAAAATTTGGCAGATACACGTATCTCACGGATTCAAACCCATGTATCCTAAGTATGAAATATGGTAGAGGAAGTAATATTTGAAACTATCGGAAATCTTAGTAATTAAGACCTAAACTAGTGGGATTTATGTAGTTTGCCCTAATTTATATACCACTTTTCTTTCTTCACAATAATTTATAAATGAAACATTCATGTATGTTATGCTATTTTATTTTGGAAAATTGTATGAAATAGCAAACTATTAATTCAAATTAAATGATATAGCTATAGTTTATTTTATTTGTAATTCGCAGCAAACATCCCATTTTTTTTTGCCATCCATCCCATTTGTATACCGAAATATACAAATAGACCGAAATATACAAATGCAGGACCCATTTTATATATTGAAATATACAAATGCAGGACCCATTTGTACACCGAAATTTTACAAATGCAGGACCCATTTGTATACCAAAATATACAAATAGACTGAAATATACAAATGCAGGACCTATTTGTATACCGAAATATACAAATACAGGGCCCATTTGTATACCGAAATATACAAATAGATCCAAATACAAATTTTTTTATGTATATGTATACCGAAATATACAGATTAATAGTCATAGCAAATATAAAATTTGCTATGGAGCGCAATTTTACAAACTATAGTTATAACATACAAATATGATTTTTATGTTTGCTATATGTGAAAGTTGCTCTTTTATTTTTATTACTTAAATATTTGTGCTTGCACATATATACGTGTACGTGGATTAGAATGTATAAATTTATAATTCAGCACTAGCAAGTGCAACCGAAAGGTTGAAACAGACCAAAAAGTTTCTCATAAAATCTCTCTTTTTGTTTTTGCAATGTGCTTTAGGTTTTTGTTTGGTCGTTGAATTTTATCGACTATAACTTTAAGTATTAGTAAATGAGTTTTAAATTTAAACTTTATTCATATTTAGTACATAATTTGATAGAGTTTTTGACCAAAAACATTCTTAAACTGCACCCCAAACTTAAATTACATCCTTAAAATATCTTTTTTGGCAAAAAACATCCTCTAAGTATTTGAAATTTAACAATTTTCATAGAATGTTTTCTGCTAAGAATGATACTTTAAGGATTATTTTGGCCATCTGATTTGATGTGTTATGCATAATCATAAAAAAAGAAAAATAGTACTCCCTCTGTCCCAATTTATATGACTTACTTTCCTTTTTAGTCAGTCCCAAAAAGAATGACACATTTCTATTTTAAGTAACAATTTGCCTATAAAATGTCTTTTTTACCCTTAATGAAATGATTTACAACCACACAAATTTCTATCATTCATTTTGGACCACAAGTTTTAAAAGTATTTCCATTTTTCTTAAAGTTTGTGCCAAATCAAAGTACATCATATAAAATGGGACGGAGGGAGTATATAATTTTATTAGGTACTAATAAATTATTAAAAAATAATTAAAATTTAATTTAAAAAGGGTAATTTGAGTTTGTCTTTCATTTTAGCCTATATAGTTCAATCCAAATAACTTTTAAGTGAATCAATTATCTGTCCATTTATCAACTAATCAAATCCGTCCATTTGACACCTCTCTAGTTGAAAGCCTACCTCCACCTTTGAACACAAACTTTGTCTTGAAGTTGTGTTAAAGGATTGATCGATCGATATGGAAGTAAAGTATTTTCAGGACCACAAAAATTCATGCTTTCTGCCTTCAATGTAACTTTACTAATTTGGTATCTTACATCAGTCAATTAGTAGTGATTAGTGTCATGGCATATATAACTATTAACCACTTTGTGGTAACCTTGTCATTGTACATTAGCTTATAAATCACACAAAAAATTTCAACCACAAAAGACAAGTCTCATGCGACAAGTTCATGAACGAATACTAGACAGATATTGAATTCAATATCAAATCTCTCACGTGGAAAATCCACCTCCCAACCACTCAACCATGTCCGTGTTGGCACCTTTTTTTTGAATTTGTGAAATTGAAATGGTTTAGTGAATCGAGCGATTCAACATAAGACGAATCTGATCATCTCTGAGGAGAATCTTACTTTCTTAGTCACCACACTAATAGTGTACTAATTAAATTATGTTTACTTTAATTTTCTGAAATTCTCTGGCAGTACCAACGTTTATCAGACGTATCAATTAATTGTGGAATGTTTATAATAAAGTATATGCAACTAGTATTATCTTTACAGGTATTACAAAAAGTAATTACTGTGTGGCAGAAGGGGTATTAATTTGTGACCAAAGTGGAATGAAAATAAAAAAATTGGGACCAGAGAAAAAAAGTGAAAAGTTATGGGGAATAACATGGGGTAGCTAGCCGAAGGATCTAGGTGAGGGTTATATAGACAAGAGCGCGGAGTCAGGTAGCGTGGAGGGGTTTATTCGAATTTCTTTCAGTCGGAGAATTATACCGCTTATTATATACATTGTTAATAATGTATATATATTTAATATTGAACCTTTTTCTAATTTTTATTTCATATTATATAAACTCGATCTTGATGAATATCCTGACTCTGCCACGATATATATACGACTTTTCTGAAGTTAATGGCCATTCACCCACCACCACACGCACTCAAAGGCTTCTGGTTATTCCGTTTTTAGCTTTTATTTTCTAAGGGGGCAGAGTCACTGCATGCGCGGCCTTCTAAAAAGGCCAATGTCTTCTGTCTAAATGCCCTATTTCCTGTAACAGTATACTATTTGGTTTAACTATATATAAGGCCTAGAATAACCACTCTAACTAATGTAATGTAAATGTTACTTCTCTTGTTGATAAAGTTATATATACTCCGTAAATAGGTTTGCATTACCAGTGATAAGTATTCATTTATCTTTAATCAGAGATTTCAGATTTGAGTCTTCAAACTATAGATTCGCCTTTGTTAGAGAGCGTTTTACCCTTAATATGAAACCTCTTTCACATTTAATCGGGGTCCAATGTGGATATGGACACCGAAGAGAAACCTATATATGTAGGTCTGCACTAGCGGAGACATGCATCCTTTCAAGTGGTGTTGCCCAACACCGCTTTGTCGAAAACTTCAATTAATGTTGTATGTACATGCTACTAATTGGGATGGATTTTAAAATTTGTATCTTTATAAGTATAGATACACATTTACTATATTTTGTTGCAATTTCAATGAATTTTTATATATAAGTTTATAATCCACATGGAAATTACATTGAGTACAAATAAACCCGTCGGCCGAAGGCTGCATCGTCCCTTTGTTTTAATTTATTTGTCTTACTTTCTTTTTTAGTTCATTGAATAACTCTTTGCACCAACTTCCTACCTGATACACTTAATATTACACTATTCAAATGACATTTTAATATATTAAACATATCTTTAGTTTAAGATTATAAGATTCATAACTTTTTTTATTTTCTTAAAGTTTGTCAAGTGACATTTTAATATATTAAACACATCTTTGATCAAACACTAATTATTGCTCAAAAGTATTTTTAAAATTTATTGATCAAATACGATCCAAAATTACTTTTAAAAAAAAACATTTTCAATAATTAGTTAATTTTAGAAATTTGACTAAACAGACTATTAGTCGTGACACTAGTCTAAACAAAATCTTGCATACCACACTATAGGGATGTAAGAAGTCGGCTATATATACGGGCACGTCAACCATGAGTACAAGGCAAAAAATAGATAAATGTACTCAGCCTTTTGGCTTCTGCATGCACTATAGTGCTCAAACACACAAACACTCACACTAACTTTTTTCCTATTAGTACTATATAATATAGTAATATATTTATGTGCAAGTTGACACAAAATTCCCTCAATAAAAACTCTTCCAATGCTAAGTTCCTTTCCACTTTCTGAACAACTCACAGTCTTTTTCCTTAATTCTTGAAATTCCCTCATTCCTCAGTATCTAATTTGAAAGTAACGTTTCAACACCAAGTCATTTTCATCAATTTGTTCACTTACACAAATTGAAATGGCATCACTATCAAGTACCCTACTTGTTACATTTTACTTGACATTTACATTATTATTATTATTATTATGTAGTCATGTTGTTACTGCTAGGTACCATCACCACGGACACCGCGGTCACCATAATAACAAGAAACAACATAAGCATAATTCACACATATCGTATCCCCCTTCAATTTCACCCGAGCCTTCACCCTCCGCGGGGGACGAAGGGGTTTATGATGTGAGGTCTTTTGGTGCCGTGGGGGATGGTGTTACGGATGATACTGAAGGTTTTAAGGCAGCGTGGGATGCTGCTTGCCAAGTTGACTCAGCTGTTATTCATGTTCCTGTTGGTTACTCTTTTATGATTCAGTCTACTATATTTACTGGTCCTTGTCAAAGTGGCTTGGTGTTTCAGGTACCTCGTTAAGATATAACTATATATTTTCTCGTTTCCAATGTATGTGATGTAGTTTGACAAATGAGTTACATATATTAATTTGTCTCACTATAAATTATTTCATCTAAGTATAATATAGATATTTTAGAGAAAAATTGTTACTTTTCTTTCCATTCCCTTCATCAAATTTTGTGTTTGATTTGACATCAAAATTAAACACAAAATTAAGAAAGAAATAGTAAGATTTTTTTATGAATACCGAAAATACCTTTAGAACTTTATAAGCATGTCATTAAGGATATAAAGTTTTAAAATTAAAGACTTTTCAGATGACATTCTTTTTTAATATATTAAAAATGAGAGAAAAGTGTCACATTATTAGATGAAATAGATGGACTGTGTCTATTCTACTCCTCCTCCTTCTGTTCCTTTTTATGTGGAGTTAGCTGTTTGATCATTTATAGTATATTCTAATTTTAAAAAAAAATTATATTTAAAAATAATTTAATTGTGAATTTCTCATTTTACTCTTAATTAACATGCTTTTACGGAAAAAAACCTTTCTTAAATTTTGTATTCAGTTAAATTATATAATAAATTAAAATGGAGGAAACAATTTAGATGTACTCTTAATAGTACGTTTTTAGAGCGAAAACTAACTTGGCATGACATGTTTTTTCTTAAATTTTATATTTAGTTAAACTATATCACCTAAATTAAAACGAATAGAATGATTTTGCATTATGTAAATAACTGAATTTGTGTGCCAATATGGAAGTTGGAAGGAACAATAATGCCTCCAGATGGACCAGAGTCGTGGGGGAGCAACAAGAGTAAGAGGCAGTGGCTGGTATTCTATAGAGTAAATGAGTTGTCATTACAAGGAGGAGGCGTCATAGATGGAAGAGGACAAGAGTGGTGGAATCTTCCTTGTAAACCCCATAAGGTATGTATATATGGGGATTGGGGTTTAGACTAGTATCTATGTGTCCACTTACTTTTTTTCTTCTGGATCAGTGTTTGGTATCCGTATTATTGAAAAGTCCTATATTGGAGTAAAACACTCCCTAATAAATGTGATTTTTTATTTAAGAAAATTTGAATTGAGATTTTTTATTAAAGATGAATGAGTACTTATCAGTCCAGCACAACCCTTGTTGATACTTTTCTTTCTTTTTACTCTACTATTTATGGGATAGTGGTTAATATCAATAATCTTTTTTTCTATTTTTTATTCGGTGTTCAGTATCTGTATTGAAATTCGATTAATTTGAATTCGTGTATTGTAGTGCTTATTTCTGGAGGTAGCTCTCGCAACAAGATTTTTTCTATTTCCCTAGCTCGAACCCGAATTTTTTAATTAATGGTGGAGAAATCCAACTATCCTACCACAATCCATGCGTTGGTTATTTTCAATAATCTTTGCACACACATATATATGAATAAATTATCTAATCCTCAGTACACTTTAACTACGACAGGGACCTAATGGAAGTACACTACCTGGACCATGTGACAGCCCAATTGTAAGTGAAAAAATAAACTTCTACCACTAGGCATCTCTAGCAATTAATTGTAGATTTTTTTGAATTAAGGTTATATTAATTCATTAATTCTAATTTGGTACGTAAATTGCAGGCCATTAGATTCTTCATGAGCTCAAATCTAACGGTGCAAGGAATTAAAATGAAGAATAGCCCCCAATTTAATTTCAGATTTGATAACTGCAAGAATGTGCATATTGAATCCCTACACATTACAGCTCCCATATGGAGTCCCAACACTGATGGCATTCACATTGAGCAAACCAGCAATGTTGAAATTTATGACTCCCTCATCTCTAACGGTACGATAATTAACTTCGAGTATTTATGACTCTGGTTGCAATATATCTGACATGCAAATGACATGATTCTCGAGGAATGACTCAAAATTTAAAATACCAGGTGACGATTGTGTATCAATAGGAGCAGGATGTTACGATGTGGATATTAGGAATCTTACATGTGGACCTGGAGGACATGGAATCAGGTAGTTGTACAAATGACTTGTTTAACTTTTGAATACTGTCAGTGCATAAAATTTAAACTCTAATTTTACAGCATTGGGAGTTTAGGCAACCACAATTCGCGAGCATGTGTATCAAACATCACAGTTCGTGACTCAGTAATAAAACAATCAGACAACGGTGTGAGGATCAAGACATGGCAAGGCGGATTTGGAGCAGTATCAGGAGTTTCGTTTCTCAACATTCATATGGACAATGTACGTAACCCTATTATAATCGATCAATTCTACTGTCTTTCGAAAGACTGCAGTAATCGGACTTCAGCAGTGTCTGTTTCAGATATTGAATACTCAAGTATTAAAGGAACGTATGATATTAGAAGCCCGCCAATGCATTTTGCTTGTAGTGACACTATCCCCTGCACGAATATAACACTTTCAGACATAGAACTTTTGCCTGCTAAAGGCGAATTAGTGTTGGATCCCTTCTGTTGGAACGTGTATGGAGGACAAGAGACGTTAACAATTCCGCCTATTTTTTGCTTGTTAGAGGGAAATCCTCCATCGGTGTTTGAAAATAATGACTTGGGGTATTGTTCCTCGTCGTGAATTTTAATATTGCCGGGTTGTTTTGTGTGTTTTTGTACATATGAGATTTATAATATAAGTAATAGATTGATGGATTTGAGATGGGAATAATAATCCGAAACATCGATCGGTATAATGTAATTTTAGATTTAGAAAGGGAGCTTATGGTTTGCTATCATAAGTTTCCCTTGAGATTTACTTTAGAGTTTAGTCTTTTAGGTTTTTCTATTGATCAGTACTTGATGTAATAGTTTTTGTGCTTATGATAATAATATGATTGCTTCTGTGTGGTTCAAATTATATCCTTACACAAAAGAAATTAAGTCATAACACAAGTGATCATGTCCGAAGACATAAGTGTAGTGACACAAGTTATATTTGAACACAAAGAAATTAAGTCTAACGCATAAGTTTAGTGACTCAAGTTATGCCCCAAGACACAAGTTCAATGACACAAGTTAAGTCAAAGAGCATAGGTTCAGTGGCACAACTTATGGCATAGGGTATAAGTTTAGTGACAAAAATTATGCCCAAAGGTAAAAAAATTCTGTTGTCTCGCCCTACGAATCAAAAGTTATGCTTTTAAGGCAAAACATTCTAAAAAGATGTCTGCAAGATTAGTGTTGCCAACAAAATTAGGCCATAGTTAAGGGTACTTTGTCTCGTATTTTTTTATTAAATGAGCAACGAGAGAAAAAAAAAACACGAATTTGAGAGGCAATCTCTGCAAAAACTTGTATTACCGCATAAGAATAACACATTGTAATTTTTGTTCACCCAAAAAAAAAAAAAGGTCTACAAGCTTCAATAATTTTATTTAAAAACTTTTATTCAAATAAAACTACAAAAAGTAAACCTCGTACCTTTGTGAGCAACAAAGACTACGGCACTACATAGTGGGTGTTTGGACATATTTGAGCTGAAATAGAATGAAAAATAGAGTAATTGAGGTTGTATGTTAAGTCAAAGATTAAGCTAAGAGGGAAAAAATCAATATTGTACTTTAAATTAAAATACGATAAAACAGCCATTATTTCAATTATTATTAATTATCTCTTGAAGTTAAAAAATAAAGCATAATATTTACATATACTCAGGGTCAAACTAACATTTACAAATGTTAAAATTCATTATTTTCAAATGCTGAAGGTAAATTCATGTCTAACCACTACTAGAAGTTTTGAAAATTGTATCACCTTAAAGTATGATAACTTGTCAGAAATTAATTAAGGTCGATAGGCCAACGTTCAAATAATTCAATAGATGAAAAAAAAACAATGCTTTTTTATAGTGGTTAAAAAAATGGAATAAGATCTCGAGGTTTCAAGGTTAAATTCGAGCAAAATTGAAAATGTTGTAATTTTTTATATGAACTTCAATAAAAGATATATTAAAATTGCACAAACTGATTTGAACACTAGATGAAAAAATAAAATAAAAAATGAGACGAAACGTGTGCTTTGAAGTTCAACATTGTGAATTTGTTTGGTGAAAGACATCCATTATCTTGAAAACTAAAGGTAGAACACAAAACAAAATTAACATAATTAATGCAAAATCTTTTGTTCTTTCTCCTTTATGATTTCTAATTTTCTCATATTGCGGCTCAATAAACATTGTAAATTTTCATATATAGTACCAACCATGAGATGACAAAATACTAGAATGTCATACTTCCATTATGCAATTAAAAATATTTCTATTTAATGATTAGAAGCACACTATAATTCATTAACATGAAAAGGTTTAAAAGGTGATGATGTAACCTAATTAAAATTATGCTAATTTAGTGCCAACTTTCCGTCCTTCTTTAGACCCAATGCGCTTCTATATATGGCTAATAAATAAAAGAAAAAAAATCTTTTGGCCAGAATTTGACCAGAATAGTATTTTATCTATGTTATTTTACATTTTTGAACATTTTAATCCTTTTAACTTTAGTATCTTTTAACTAAAAAATGGCAAAAAGATCAGTTTATTTTAAAACAAAAAAAGATATTATAGACTTCTTAAATTTCTGCTGAATTCTGGCCAAATTTTCTGGCTATTTAACATTACCCTTTAAATAAAGGATAAAGGATAAGAGGAACTATTAAAATTTTAAAGTAATACTTTTTTGTTGGTGAAATTAATTATAGGCAAGTTTAGAGCCAATAAGAAGAAAACAGAAAAAACCAATACAAAAAAAAGAAAATACTTTTTCCAATAAGAAGCATTGTTCGTATTGTTAGATCTTCTTTTCTACTTTGCGACAAATAGGTCTACTAAGTGGGAAATATATTTAGGCATACGACACAGAAATATAAATTTTAGTTTGACATTAACTGACAATTAAATAACAAGAGCGAAGTTAGGTTGAATCTACGGAGTTCGTTTGAAATCCTTTTCGTAGAAAATTACACTGTTTATACATGATAAAAAATATTTTTTATGTATTCCTTTGGCTTCGTGTGTGTTTTACTTTTCATATTTTGAACTCACTTGGGGGTCGTTTGGTAGAGTGTATTAACAAAAATAATGTATGCATTAACTATGTATATTAGTTCACCCTTATTCGGTAGACTTTTTAATGTTATACACTCTATTGTGTATTGAGGAGTGTATTACTAATACTATAGTAATACCAAGTGATATTACCCCATGGATCAAGCGGCCGAAGCACCCAAAAAAAAATTCTCAAAAAACTTTATGAGGACCTCCGTTATGAGTTGGGGAACCTTAACGTATACTCACACCATTTTTTCAACGCCCATTTCTGCATTTACAAGCCCTTTTTTAAGAATCACCCAAATTTCCCAATTTTTCGTGTGTATTAGCCCATTGATCTGGCGCCCGGAGCACCTAAATTTTTTCTCTCAAAAAACTTTATGTGGACATCCGTAATAAGTTGGGAAACCTTCATGTATACTCACACCATTTTTAACGCTCATTTTCGCTTTTACAAGCCTTTTTTTAAGAATCATCCAAATTCCCCAGTTTTCATATGTATTAGCCCATAGATCTGACGCCCGAAGCACCCAAAAAAATTTACTCAAAAAACTTTATAAGGACCTCCATAATGAGCTGGGGAACCTTCACATATACTCACACCATTTTTAACGCCCATTTCCGCATTTACAAGTCCCTTATTAAGAATCACCCAAATTCCCCGATTTTTCGTCTGTATAAGCCCATGGTTCTAGCGCCAGGAGCACTCAAATTTTTTTCTCAAGAAAATTTATGAGGACCTCTGTAATGAGTTGCGGAATCTTCAAGTATACTCACACCATTTTTTAATTCCCATTTCCGCATTTACAAGCCTTTTTTTCAGAATCGCCCTAATTCCATGATTTTTGTGTGTATAATGTCAATAGCTATGCCCGAAGCACACAATTTTTTTTTCTTCAAAAACCTTATAAGGACCTCCGTAATAAGTTGGGGGACCTTCACGTATACTCACACCATTTTTTTAATGCCCATTTTTGCATTTACAAGCTCTTTTTGAAGACTTGCCCAAATTCCCTGTAATTCGTGAGTATTAGTCCATTGATCTAGCGCTAGGAACACCCAAATCTCTTTTCTCAAAAAACCTTATGAGAACCTCTGTAATGAGTTGGAGAAGCTTCACGTACACTAACACCATTTTTAATGCCCATTTTCGCATTTACAAGCCTTTTTTTAAGAATCGCCATATTCTCTAATTTTTCGTGTGTATTAGCCCATAGATCTGGTTCCCGAAGCAACCAATTTTTTTTTCTCAAAAAATTTTGTGAGGACCTCCGTAATGAGTTGGGGGTTTCTTAATGTATACACACACCATTTTTTAATGCCCATTTCCAAATTTACAATCTTTTTTTATGAATCGCTCAAATTCTCTGATATTCGTGTGTATCTGGTGTCCGGAGCACCCAAAAAGTCCTCAAAAAAATTCATCAGGAACTCTGTAATGAGTTAGGGAACCTTCACATATACTGACACAATTGTTTTCACTCCATTTCCGCATTTACTAGCCCTTTTTTAAGAATCGCCCAAATTCCCTAATTTTTTATATGTATTAGCCCATTGATCTGGCGCCAAAAGCAACCAAAATCTTTTCTCAAAAAACTTTATGAGAACCTCCGTAATGAGTTGGAGAACCTTCACATACACTCACACAATTTTTTAATGCCCATTTCCGCACTTACAATCCCTTTTTTAAGAATCACCCAAATCCACAATTTTCGTGTATATTAGTCAATTGATCTGGTGCTCAGAGCAACCAAAAAGATTTTCTAAATTTTTTTTATAAGCGCCTCCGTAATGAGTTGGGGGACATTCACGTATACTCACACCATTTTTTAACGCTCGTTTCCGCATTTTCAAGCTCTGTTTTAAGAATCGCCCAAATTTTTCGATTTTCGTGTGTATTAGCCTATGGATCTGTCGCCCCAAAAGATTTTTCTCAAGAAACTTTATGAGTACCTCCTTAGTGAGTTGGGGAACATTCGCGTATACTCACACCATTTTTTCTTAACATCTATTTCCGTATTTACAAACCCTTTTATGAATAACCCAAGTTCCCAATTTTTCGTGTTTGGTGCAAGGAGCACCCAAAATATTTTTCTCAAAAAACTTTATGAGGACCTCTGTTATGAGTTAGGGAACTTTCATGTATACTCACACCATTTTCTTAGCGCTCATTTCCGCATTTTCAAGTCATTTTTTAAGAATCACTCAAATTCTCCTATTTGCGTGTGTATTTTGCCCATACATGAAACATCAGGCGCACGGAGCACCAAAATATTGTTTTCTCAAAAGAAATTATGAGGACATCTGTAATGAGTTGGGGAACCTTCAAGTATACTCCCACCATTTTTTTATCTCTCATTTCCACATTTACAAGCCTTTTTTTAGAATCGCCCAAATTCTCCAAATTTTCGTGTATTAGCCAATAGATTTGTCACCCAAAGCACCCCAAATTATTTTCTCAAAAAACTTTATGAGGATCTCTGTAATGAGTTTGCGAACCCTCACGTATATTCACACCATTTTTTTAACCCCCATTTTCGCATTTACAATCCCATTTTTAAGA